ATTCAAGTCGTATACTACAAATCGCACGAGACAATCGTGCCATGTAAATCAGCCTTAAGTCATATTTCTGAGCATGCAGCTAACACTACTTTGATGGCTCCTAATCACGTGATAAAAGCTACTGATCTTCATTGATGTCACGTGCTCTCGGGGAAAAAACACTCTACCGATTTTTGTATCTCAAAGAGTCTAGACCAATCAGAATTCGCGTATACTAATTGATCCAGGCCAGAGCCAATCAGAAGTTGCTTCATATTCACAGAAAAGCTTCATGAGGGTAAGAAACTTTTTGCAGAGCTGTAGATAGCCACCCCCTTCCCTTTCGTCCCCCCTTCGCACTCCCCTGGAGCCGCTTCGAGCCGCTTCGTAGGAATGAGTTATGTATTGTTTTCTAGATATCTTACCATCTTTCCTCCAGCAATCTTTCCACCTGAAAAATTACATCATTATTATACCATACAGTTATCAAACACTACTATGATCATTACAAACAAGCTTAGTATCCACCTCCACAGTCATCACTCACGGGCTTCCTGTCTTTTTGTCACTAGTCCCTAGCGGCGTTAGAAAGGAAGCCCGAAGAAAGACAAAAGAKTTGCGTGATGAGGAGTCTAACTAGCTCCCATGCCTACCCAAAGTAAACGCCTTTGACAGCAGATTCTTGGCTGCTGTAACAATTGTCTTATTAGCTCCACTAGCTTGTCTCTCCATGTTCGCTGCCGCAGTCAAGACATTTTCTTTAGTTGGAGGTTTATTTTCAGGTTCTAAACTTCCTAGGATGTCAAAATACTTGTCTACTACCTTATCATCAAGTTTGTCTAGCACGATGAGCTAAAAAAAAAGGAAAAGAATAATCAAATATCTCGTAGAAATTTCTTTGAAATATTATATTTATGGCCGAGATAGACATCATCAAACCCATGATAAATTAGCTAGTGATCTAAAACAATGTGTGATTATCAATTAAATGAATGCCTATTGTCCATACAATCCCCAGATTCACTAGCGTAGGGACGTCGGATGCCCCTTCTCTCCCCCCTCCCCTCCCCTCTCAAATGGAAACTTTACCGGATAGATCAATCTTCCAACTTCAAGTGGAAGCAGGAATGAATTTGCTGGTTGACGTTTAGAGACTGTGTACATCATTCCACCGCTAAACTCTACAGTAAATCGACCATTATAGTCCTGCTTTGGTTGAAACTTAAAACGTCGTGATAAGTCATTGATATAAGCTGGTAAAGAATCGAAGTCGAGACGTCCGGCTGAAATATCATGCGAGATAGGTGCGTTAGTATGATGATTGAGCAGGAGTTTTGTGAAGAGGACTCCCATAAGCTGTGCACGCGTATGTATGATGTTTCATATTTTGAAATCGGCTGTGATTTTGGTGCCGCACAGTTTTATATGCTACTCTATCTTATTGACATTGCGCGCTCTTTTGATGGTGATTGCGAATCTGATTGTGTTTACGATTAAGAGTGTTCGCAAAAAAACTTTAATGGTGTTTGCAAATGGAATAATGCGTATTGTAAGAAGTACTGCGACGCTAACATGATCGTGAATACCGCTGTAATGTGAATGTATATACTTCATTACCATCCTTCAGAACTATAGAGTACCTTTCTTTGTGTCTGTGTCCTCACCAGGACGGATGCTTACAGCAGGCCGTGACGAGTTTGCAAAATCTAACAATCCCTTGTAAATTGTCAGTGGACCGGCCGCGCTCAAGAAAGGCTCCAATTYAGATGGAATGTTAGATTCGGTACTGTATTCCGAGCCATTCAGAGCAACTTTGCTTTTGATCTTAAAAAAATCAAAATCAGATGACGATTATCATATTTTAAGGCATCATATAAATTATTGTAAGTGCTCTTTCACGCCCAACGTTACAAACAACGTATAATTTTCTGCTCAGTGTTTTAAACCATAAATTGAAAATAGATTTACTGGTCTACATTAATGTATAATTTTCTGCTCAGTGTTTTAAACCATAAATTGAAAATAGATTTACTGGCCTAAGTTACATGTAGAACTATAAAAACCTTATTCCAGCTTTACAACTATTCGGGAATACTGAATCTTTTGATCTAACTTATTTAACTTACTATTATTCCAGGATCACTGCTATCATCCTCGTTCATCTCGCAAGGAGAGCCATGTTCGCTGATAAAAACATTTGGAGGCCACGCATGGGGAAAGACGAAGAGAGCAATGACATCTAAAGGTCCACGAGAAGAACTCGAAGCATCGATCACTTCACCTATTGCACCAGTTTTCTTGGTGAAATTTAGAAGGACAACACCATGACGCCAATTGGCTGAACCAATGAAACTGAGGACAGTAAAATAAGAAGCAATGTTTTGATATCGTGTGAAAACCCTTTTCTCCTGATTGACGTTTATTACTGAATATCATTAAATCTACAAGGATCTTCTATACCGGGGAGCGAGAAGAACTTTGACTTTATAGTCTGCTATTGACACCCTGTATAATAATGCAAAAGATAGAAAGTTCACCCCTATTTTGGTGGAACGTCCACGAATAGTTAATGTAGGGAATCCCCTCCCCTTGTGTTCTTTATTTACCTCGCTTCCCCTTATCAGTCACCGAAAATCGTGTCATAATATATTCTCTTACAGAAATTGTTTTAGATTTATCTAACTTTACGCCTCTGGAGCCGGTTGCACTGCTTCACAAAACGTTTTATCGATTGTTATTTTTCTTACCGGATCATGTTTTCTTTTCCGAGGACAAAAGCTTTGGATGGTGAAATCCCGGAGGGTGCTGCAATCCATTCGTTGTTGTGGAAGAATTGTAAATTCCCATATATACTATAGTCCGTGGATTTAGAAGTTCCATTGACAACGTCAACAAATGTTATTGCAATGGTATCTGTATTAAAAAACATGTTCTTGGACGTTTCCCCCAAAGTCTGAAAATCTGCTACAACCTTGTATTGTTTATCATTAAGGCATTGGTACTCGGTTCCAAGGCAGCAGAAAGCATTTCCTGGCTGACATTTTCCGGTACTATTACAAAAAATGTGATTTTGTGGACAGCAGTGTTCGCTAGATGGTTGACACTTTCCTGTGTAATTGCAGAGCATGAGGTTGTGTGGACAGCACGATTCGTTGCTCATTTGACATCGTCTGGTATAATTGCAGAAGACATGATTCTGATGACAACAAGGTTCCTTGGGCAGTTGACACTTTCCTGTGTAATTGCAGAGTATGAGGTTGTGTGGACAGCACGATTCGTTGCCCAATTGACATTGTCTTGTGTAATTACACAAGGTGTGATTTTGTGGACAGCATGGCTCTTTAGGAGGTTGGCACTTCCTCGTCGTATTGCAAAATGTGTGGTTCTGAGGGCAACACGGTTCTTTGGCCATTTTACATTGTCTTGTATAATTACAC